GCTGAGGGTGTTAGTCGTGCTGCTTATCCTTTAGAGGTAGATTCACAGTGTCCCTGTCAGACTTATGACACAGTAGGTCAGATTCAGAACCTCTTTGTGATGGGGAGGTTGTGTGAAAGTGATTCAATTATAGCCTTAACCCTCCCACCCAGACCCCCACACCCACCCAGACCTAGAACCAGTTTCTTGCTCGACGCCATCACAGTCCTAAAGTCAGTGTAAACATTTTAAATAGTGAAATGCAGTTTTGTCAATACTTGATCTTATTGCAGTTTGCGTAGCAATTAGAATGGTTAATTCCTTGTGTGCAACTTATTTCATGGAATAGGTGTTTTTTAATGACATAAACACTGCACTAATTTGTAGCTGAAGTTTGAGTTGCTCTTGGAAGGGTAATAGATGCCTTGTCTCCACCAGTCACAGTGTTCCTACACCATAGTGTCGTCACGTCCTCAGGACCCGGCTAAAGAAGCCTCAGGCTACAACAGAAAATGATCACAAGTTTGTTCATCGAAGTGGAATATTTGTCATGAATTTGTTTTATACTACATGTCTCATCAAATGAGCAATTTGAAAAAACAAAATACAGAAAAAATAATCTGATTTGTGCGCAAACAATATTGATTGAATGTGTTGAAATCAGACGGCTATGCTATGGTTGCTCACAGAGCTAATGGAGACAAGGCATTTGATAACAAATTCCCCTTTTTTGGCCTTTTGAGATTTTATTGCCAAGTAATGGTCTACTCAGAGGTCACGTGTAATCAATGTTTTCATTGTTTAGAAGTATTTATATTGTTTAGATGCAACTCTGTGTTCTTTATTTTTGGCTTTGTTTTGTTAATGTTTGGTCAGAATCATTCCATTTCCATGCCTCTGTCGTAGCCACACGTTTGTTTACAGTGACCCAGCTTTAGGAGGAAAATAAGGAAGGAAGCAGTTAAGCTTCGTCGTTAGTCATCTTCCCAAGAAGCTGGAAGAGCTGCCACGAGCATGAAGGGTAACACAGCTGATACCCCTCGCTTCCTTCCCTAGCAGCCTTTTGTTCCTCTGTGTAGACCAATACTTAATTTATCACATTTTAGATTCACATTTCTAACTTTTTATCGCTCTTTGTTTTCTATTTAATCATTCTTCTGTTAATGTGTCTGTGTTGATAATGCTCTTTTTACTAGGTCTTCTTTATGCTTTTTCCTGAGGTCAAGTTTACTGGATTAAGAATGTTGTCAAAAAAGATCAAGCTCACAGACGATGAATGCATCTACGCTTACCTGCTAAGCAAACAGGCACTGAGATAAAATGCACGTCTCTAGACAGTGGGCTTGTCTCCTCACCTCTGGAGGTGTGTATTTGACTGCGACTGCATCACCGTTTCTTGGATATGTGTTGAGATGTGTTCAGAGTGTTTCTGGACACTTAACAACAGGACAGACGGCTAAGAAATGAATGGGTCTTAGAGAACTCGTGCGTCTTGAAATAGAACATTTTTCCTATATCAAGGCATTGTTACATGGTAATAATGTTTTGCTGATAGGCCCTTGTATGCAAATAGTACAGTACATGCAACAAATCTATAATTCCTCTCCAAATTTGTCCTTATTATCTCACAAACTAACTACAAATGTTTCCCAGGTAAGCTTAAGTGAAGCACATTATGCTTTACGATAATCCTAATAATAAATGGTATATCTATTTTTTCAGATACGAGAACAAGTTACATTAAGGATGATATCATCCAAGCAGTAAAATGTATAGTTCTGCCACTGGTGGACATCAGTGTAATTCTTTGCAAAGACAAAGAATTTGTCTTCCCCCGAGATATAGATATATTTGCTTATAGCAGGTGAGTTTAATGACATTTGCCAAAGAAAAGTGAAAGTTATATTCAAATGGAAATCCTGTTTTTTTTGTTGTTTTTTTTAAAGAAGAAGAAAGAAAGCTGGCATAACAGTTGCACTGCATTTCCTAGGTGTGTAAATCTTCAGGTAACAATATCAGCACAATTCATCCTGTGTATCCAGTGGTGTTTGAGCTCAGAGTTGGAATGAAGTGCAACAAAAAGGCACCACTCAATGCCTCTTTTAATATACAGTATTTGCACCTTTATGTCCCAAACCAAAATGATCATGGTCTTTGAAGAAAATATATAATTTTTACCCACTCTATGAAAATTATGCATTTTAACTATTATATATGCGAGAATCCAGTCAATAACAAATAACAAACAGCCATAATATACTGTCATCTCCCATCCCGTCACTTTTTCTATCTAGAAAATGCTTCTATAAAGTGAAATTCCTATATTAGTTACCTAAATGACTATAATACCCTTTTGTGCTAGTACTGTCTTCTTGAATGTAATCATTTTGTACCTGTATTTTTCTAATTCAGTCATGATTGTACTGTATGTATGCTATGATGGTATACTGTTCCTTAGGTGCATAGTTCGTTACAACCGACAGTTCTCATGACAGGATAGCTGCTGTGCTGCAAACTTAATGGAAACGTGTGGAGGTTTTAAGTCCAAAGGACTTCCTGTACTGTGTGAGCATCCATGAGACTGATAACTGAGAGAGTCTTGCATTTTGAGTGGTGGGACAAACATTTTCCCTGGTTTGCTACTTCTTTTTTTTTTTTCCTTTGCAGTAGAAGTGAAAGTCTGATCAGGACAGTTTATAAAACGAAGACGCTCCTGCAATCAGATAGAACAATTGAATGCTTGAGTTTTAACTTATTTATTACTGTTCCTTTTTATAGGTTTAGTTGAATAAAGAAACAATAAAATATAAAACTGAATATGCATCCATTTATACATGAAGGTGTATATGATAACCTACCCTTTACTAGAATGTAGATCATGGCTTCCTTTTGTTTCTTTTTTTGTGACGAAGTTATGCCAGATCTTTAAAGTCTCTTTCCTCTGATAGTTTGTACAACCTGTGCTTAATCTAATTTATGCTACTGGTGATCATCATGACAGATGTGTTTTTTTGATTGTTACCGCCCAGTGGTTAAATGCAGCCTTGCCATACTGGAACCCCTGCTTAGTGAGGGATCCCTCAGCTACCTTACCTCCTCTCCCACAACTCCTATGTCATAACACTGTTTGCTGATGCAACTATTATTCCTTTTACACTTTCTGCTGACGCAACTATTACTTCTTGAACACCTATTAAAATAACATCTATTGCATCTGTGTCAAAATATGTGTTGTTCATGCTGCTTTGTTGAACTCATGGTTACTCTCCCCTGCCTGGACTGGCCATGGCTCACTACTTCCTCACAGGAAGTAGTGAGCACTGTGTGGAAGTTGAGCCCACAACAACAGATTCACACTGACTGTAACGTTGGTTTAAAAAACTTTTGATTTAATATTCTTACATTTATATTGCATAATGTTACATAATAGAACAGTCAGAAGTTGCTTTGTATTTATTTACATTTCCTATTTACATGTATTACATTTAAATAAAATGTTGCAATAACCTAAACTCACAACTTACAATACATCACCACACTATAGCACATAACTGGGATAGCCAAACCACGGCCCGTGGGCCAACTGCCCGCTGCCTGTTATAAAATGGCCCCTCTGGAATTAAAAAGAATAATTTACTTACATACTTAAATATGGCTTGAGCATATTTCTAATAAATTACATTGTGTGTACATTGCACATGCTAGTTTTAATACTACATGTCAACTAAATTCAGTGAAATTATCTCTGTCTCAAACCTCTTGGCACAGAAATCAATATTTTACCATTGCTGCCTGTACGGTGCGTTACTTGATAATATTAGGCAAATTCATATCTTACATTTACATTTGAATCATAATCTTTTAAAGCTAGGGTTGGTTTAGCAAGAGATGTTAGATTTAAAAACATCATCCAACCTAAAAACCCAGCTCAGTGTTGCCAACTCCTTTCTTATGAAAGTAGCTAGCAGCACTATCTCCAAAAGTCCCTAAATCTAGTGAGAAAGTCTCCAAGTCCTCAACTCTGACAGTCCTTCCAGGCCTCCCTCCAAAACACTCCCCCAAAATGATCATAATGAATGTAAACAATCAACATGGCTTTTATTATTGTTGGTATAGCTGTTAAGCTAGCAGCTTGTGAAAGATTTAAAGATTTCATGGGCAGAATACATGAAGGTAGACAGGTATGAAATGATTGGATGGGCTTATTACAGTCCTGTAACAGCTACAGATACCTGATTTTTGTTTTGTCAGAGCACTGGATTCATTAATTGTGGTCAGGATGTAAAGAGCATTTTTACAAATGAAATATTTGTATAAGATTACCAACCTGTGGGTGCTTAGGCCATGATCAGGGACCAATATTTGGCAATCTGCCTTTTCTGCCTGATTCAATTTGACCTATTTACAGATGTATACATCAGAAAGTGGGCACTTTGAGTTTAAAAGCATTGAATTCATTCAAACTAAATTCAAGGGAGTCAAATACAGAAATACTTTTTGTAATATATGGCCACACCAATATACTACTGTAATGTCTGTTTACAGACTACTGTTTAGTAGTCTTGCATAGTTAATGTCATAGAAAATGTATTTTCTATGGCACAGTGGGTTTAGGTAGAAACTGATTTCTTTCTGATTGCTTGGCTCGTGATTCCTTATTTTTTTCTGTAAAAGGCCCACAATAAAAACACATCTGTCCACCCCTGCCCTATAATAACTACCATACTATGTTGTTATGGCTAGTTACTCATCATTATGAGGGTAATATTGCATTGTCCCAAGGATATTTGTCTATCTTGCTCTGATCTGACCTTTAAAAAGAATGAGATGCAACAAAAACAGAAATCTGTGTTTTAAAATCTAAAATAAATTGGAAGTTATTTCCCCCCCCAAAGCGCCTGTATTACGCTCAAGAACAATAAGTGTGGACTGAGTTCTGTGGGTAATAAATAATATTAATAAACAAAATGCTGTCAGCAGCAGTGGCCGGGAAACCCACGTGACTTTAGTGTCACATGACAACGCCCTGTTAAAGCTATTTTGCTAACGCTAACAAAATGGCAGCGTTCTTACAGTGGAGAAAATTCGTCTTCTTTGACAAAGACACGGTGAAGGACCCTGTGGATAATGGGAAAAACTTTGTTCTTCCACACGGAATATCGGCTTGTGACTCCGGCCGCGGTCATATTGTTCTGGGAGATATCCTTCAACAGCACTGCTTAGCTAGCTCAGCTAATGCTAGTCTAGGTTACAGGCAGCTGATGCTAGTCACGACTCAGCAAATGTGAAAGCAAACCTCCAACCGAGGTAAGCTGGGACCTGTTTTTGGAATGAATAAGTTAGCCTGAACAGTAACGAAGCAGTCGGCTGAAGACTGCGCGGTGCTGCCAGGCTATCTTCCGTGTTGTGGTACTGGAAACAGCGTCACACCAAACTCTGTTCTGTGTGCGTGTGTGTGTGTGTGTGTGTGTATGTATGTATGTATGTATATATGTGTATATGTATATATATATATATGTGTATATGTATATATGTATATATGTGTAT